AAGTGAGGGCACAGGAGTGACTCAGCAGTAAATCACAAAGGATGGCAACGGTCGGTAATGATGCACATCCTCCCCCCCGTCGTTCTCTGATAGTCTGTGTGTTTGTGTGTGAGAGATAACGAGAGAGAATGAAAGAGAATGAGATAGAAGAGAGGATGTGTAGCTACTTGTTGTCGATGCAAACTGTGTGCTTTTGAAGTATTTGGAAAGGTCGCACTGTTACTCATGCATATATATTTACTGTTTGTAAGGAAAACCTTTATTTAAAACAAAATAAAAAGTCTCAAGATCCTCTTATTGGCTTGTTCTGGAGCTTCTGAGCATATCACACAGGTCTTGTTGCCATGAAAATGCAGATATTCAAACTTTCCATGATAGGGACCATGTAATAAAGTTGAAAGCTGTAGAAAAAGACGGTAAGTGGACCTCGAGGTAAGATTGTTTTCTCAACTGCTGTTTCCATGGTGCATAATAAACAATTCAAACAGTGCCTCTCCTCTGCTGTCACCTAAATCTGAGGCTGGACATGGCACAGAGCTTCATGTCCACTGCAGTGTCATCATGTTTCAGCCACAACATTACAGTACACACACACACACACACACACACACACACACAGTTATAAGGTTATTGCATGACCACTGTGCAGACTGAGCGAGGTGAGCCATCTGTTTGGTTGGAAAATGTCACAACCACAATCCACACAGAAGAGATCTTGCGACTTAGTTTGGTCGGATTTAAACGAACCACAACTTTTACTGCAACTTAACAACACAGCTCCTAGCTCACTTCCTATTGGCGATGGCAAAACATTTACACACATTGCTGCTTTTTATTCAAGCGTTGGAGCTGACAAAACATAACCTAAACTAGAAGATAATAAACCATATTAACATGAACCTACTTGTCTGAAGAACAGTCCTTGGGTCAGCGCCATCCTGGAGCAGTACGGTGCTCGCAGCGGGCGAATGTCAGTACTTTTATCCCGGGACAGAAGCGCCTCTCTCGGCTGCAGCGTAACTCGATCCCTCGGTGCTTGACGCGTGAGAGCCAGAGCCAGTTGAGCTGGTTTCAAATTCACCGTGAAGAGGTTTTTTCTTTATGGGTAAAATCAGCTCTTCACTCTGGACTGGACTCTTTACAGCTCTTTCTGAATGAGCTGACAGCAGGTTGAGAATGGACAGTCGGTTCATGGTGGCACAGTGTTAGTGGGCGAGACTGAAGTGGAAGAGGGGCTGGCCTGGCAAATGGGTGACACAGACTGGGTGAGAGGAAAGCTGGCAGCTTTGCTTCCCAGTAGCAGATAAACAGGATTAAGAAAAGCAAAAAAAAACAACAACTAAAAAGCAACATATCTTCAGCTTGATGGTAAATCTTGTTATTAAAAGAACAATGCAGGCGCCTGTGTGTGAGGTAATGTTTGTTTGTCTGCTGTGAACAGCCAACACCCACCAACAGATGGGCTGGTCGTTAAACCAGGGATTCCCAAACGTGTTCATGTCCAGGTCCCCAACAATAGATGTGTATTAAATCACAGACCCCCGCTTTAAAAGGATTTTGACTTAAGGAATCCCCTCTGAGTATGTTTTTATTTTATTTTTAGATTTAAAGATAAAGTCTTAATTATCAATCAGTGACTTGGATCTCTAATAAATTATAATCAATCAGTATCTTTATTTCTTTTTGTTGTACTTCCAAAAAATGCAATCCAAATTTTAAAAAAAGATTTGATGGGGACCCCATACACCCCACTCTAGGACCCCTGCTGGTCCACGGACCCCAGTTTGAGAACCACTGTTTTAGCCCTCACTTATTCTTAAACAAGTCTTCCTTATTACAAAATTGCTTTGTATCTTTTTAAAGAGTTTAAAACCTTGCAGGCAATCCACCCCCAAAACAATACATGAATATATTGATTACATTAATATATTGATTACATGAATATATTGATTACATGGATATATTGTAATTACCCAAGTACAGTAAATAACAGATACAGCTGAAATGAATTGGATTGGCTTGAATACAGCAGACCTGATATGCTGTGTATCCAGACAATATTGGCCTTAAATTATCCCCCAATCCCTCCTCTCTTGATACCAATAACTCAATTCAGGGTTTTTGCAGATGTCAAATACAAAATGATAAGTGCTCTCTTGTATATACCTCACTCTGTAAAACTCATTAGAATTATTTTAAGGTGACATGAAGTCTAAGGGATTGCTGCTCTAAAAACGGTGATTGAATGAATGCAACTGATATGTGATCCGGTGTATCAGATCAGTGCATCCATGTTTATTAGTAAACAAGTCCATTGCTACACAAAGAAAATGTTAACTTAACTTGCAATGTTTAAGTTGTTTTAAGTAAAATTAAAGATCCAGTGTGTAACATTTAGGAGGATCTATTGATGTAGTGTGGGATGATGGGAGTTGTCTTTTTTGTTTCACCACCATCATTGAAGATGAAAATCTGAGATGACTCAAGCAGAAACTGGGTCACAGAAAAGCGAATATTAAAAAAAAGTTTTATTCACATATTCACCATTACTGGAATAAAATTAAGTATTTCTCTAAGTTTGAACATTGAAAACATCTGGGATAATGTAAGCACACAACTCAACAAAACATATAACATAGGTCTAGGGTGTTTAGACATTTCAATGCAGAAATGTTACAGAAATGTATATCTTTAAAACCGGTTCAGAAACATTTTGATGCTGACTCTTAAAAGCTCATAATCAGTCCAACACAATCATACAGCAAACTATCACCTGAGCAAGTTTCTCTGGGAGAGGCATGAAGCCGGGTCAGAGGCCGACACTACCAAACGAACCTGTATTACTGGCTGGTGAGCTGCTAAACTCGGGCTCCATGTGGAAGAACTCAATTTTCCCAGTTAAACATTTATCAATACTGAACCAGGAAACATTCCAATCTAAGCCCTACTCGTAAATGTCCTCAATTCAAAAAGCAGCTGAATAAAAAGTCAAGAATTCCCACATTTACATTCAATAAAAACACAGAAAAACAATTATTTTAGTGGTTTTTCATCATGTACAGATCTTTAGCACTCATTTCTAATCATAGAACTGATTGGATTTCTATTTTAAGCATAATCACATTGATGTCAGTAGCTGCAAATGACAACACAGCTATTAAAATACACATCTGCATAAATACAAGTAATAAAGCACATCATGGTAAGCAGTTTTTGGTGAATCCTGCTCAGATACAAACATGTAAATGTTAATCACTTTGCTACTTTGTAGTTGATTTGATTCAATTCCTCCCTTTTGCAGGACGTTCAGACTTCGTGTACTCCACAAACCAGATTAGCAGGCACTGAAATATCTGCAAAGGAAGAAGTAATGCAGTTTTCAGTAACAGAAGTATGGTTACATGAAAGATATTTAAAGTTTCTAAGTATGAGTGTGCACTGAGGTGTTACAACCTTGAGAATGTAATTTTTTGGGCCCAGGAATTTGACTTATGGAGGCTGGACTAAAGGAAAAAAATAGTTTTGATACCTATTTTCCCAGGCTTCGGGAGGTTCAGATTGTTCATGATGTCCACAAAGTGCTCCAGGCCTTTGGTCAAGCGTGGGTTAAACTTGCGCTCCTCACCGACTGTAGACGCCATCTGACCTGATACACAAAGACAAACACAGTTCAATATGTCATCTGTGGTGACTGTGGTCCTAATGTGTACCAGATATTGAACCTCAGTGAGGGATATACTGCAAATACTTCTTGACAGATGTATATCAGCTGAATCAGTATGCGTGGAATGACTTGACCTGAACGTGACCTGTTTGAACTTTTGTAAAACTACTCTGCATGTGTATCGTATCAGTATTGATTGCTACAACTGGCAACAGCTTTATAATACTATGTTCATACTTAAAATCTGTAGGATGAGATATGACATAAACACTCAGATGTGTGGGTTTTCAGCCAACCTCTGTAGTCGTGTGCTGGGTACACGAGGCAGTCGTCAGGCAGAGTAAAGATCTTCTGATGGATTGACTCATAGAGCCTCTTAGCGC